ATCATTATTATTAATATATAGAGAAACAGTAAAGTTAAACAGTAGAAATCTAAGTTCAATTAGTAGTCTATATAGTCAGATTACAGTTTTTATGTGGTTTGGAAGAACGTACGACTGTCGGATAATAACGCGGCCGCTTCCGAACTTGCTTACAAATGTAAAGAGGCTATAGCAGCCACCAATTAATTTAGTATACAATATATAAGAAGCCGGCGTACGCTTGTAATTATACACTGACTCAAGCAACCTTTGAATCACATCTGATAGTATGTGTAAAAACTGGTGTGAAGCACAGACTTCTTCAGAGTGTGATAATTTCATCTATGAAGTGATTTGTAGTTATCATACTAGAGTAATTCTAGAACATCTCAAAAGATAGTGTACAATGAGCAGTAAGTGAAAGAGCATTCAATTAATACTGATTCACTTATTGAGGGAAAACTTCACACTCAGATAAATGCCATGTATGATACATGAACAGATGAGATGTGAGAAAGAGAATAAGAGTGATGAATCAGATTCAAAGAAGTCTACTCTCTATCTAAAAGAAGAATAAAAAGAGAGAAAGATGATCATCACTGAAGTTATATAATAATAACAGAAATCATATAATAAGATAGTGATATAATAATAGACATTATACAATTAATAAGAAATCATTAAAATGAATATTTTCTCTAGTTAATATAAACAATACTCTTCTCTGCTATCTGAACTGAAAGATATACAGAATCTCTCAGAGAGTTTATCTAAAGCAGTAAGAAAAGCAGCTGAAATCACTGAACTGAAATTGAAGCTCTGTACATGTATAAGAATTCTAAACAAGATCAAGGTCTTGCATACACAGTGACAGGTTAAGACAGAAGTTAAATAACAATTAATATTCACTGCAGATCAAGCATTCACTATGAAGAGCTTCACTGACATAATCATCACTATTAATAAGAATAGAGAAAATCAGGTCTTAGACCTGTAGTGAGAGGTTGAACATTTACATATATCAAATCTGAAGATCTTATCATGATTGTTCATGATCTCTTCAGAAGTGTACACATTATCAGAGCCTGCTGCACAGAATGAGAATCTATGTATGAGATATATCAAGTCAGAAGATCTGTCAGAGTCATTAAGCTTTAATAATAACTGAAAAAATGATGCTGCAATCAGCTGGCTAAGTCAGATGCAATTATATTATTAAATTGAATGTGAACTTACAGACAGATAGTCAATGAAATTTCAACAAGTCTTAAGATCTGTTATATTTCTATATGAAAAAGTGAAGTCATTATGAATAACTGATGAAAAGATGAATCTCACAGACTTGAAATAATATTCATTCTCATGAATATGAAATGAGTTTTTCAAATGAATCTCATACAACTTTGAGAAAGTGAATATATAAGATAAGCATTATAAATACTTCACTGAGTGTAGATAAGTGAGTGATCTTACATCATACTTCACACACTTCAGTTTATACTATCTTATATTGAATGAAGAGCTTTCAACATCTTTCTATTTACAGATCTTCATTCATAATCTTACATCTGAGTTGAGAGTGAAATGAAAATGCTTAATCTCACAGTCAGTCACAGTGAAGAAAGCATATAATATTCTCATTATATGAAAATAAGTGAGTCAATTGTAACAGACAATACTGTAATTGAGTGTATTTCAGTGAAGAATGAATAATCAGACTTCTATGACACAAGTCATATATCTGAATGCAATGAATCTAGATCAGAATGTAATTACTAAAGCACTGAATTCTCTGAAAAAGAGATTATCTGAGTGAAAATCTTGATATTATAAGCATTGAGCTTGTTTCAACTGTGAATGTTAAAATCATGATATAAAAGATTGCACACAGTGTGTACAGTCAAGAAAAGCAAGAGAGTTAAAAAACTAGCAGAATCAGTGAGCTTGAAGACACTTGCTAATATTCTATGAAAAGTCTTCAAAGTGAAAGAGATATCTGTGTTAGATAACTCTCTGAATTCTGTGAATATTAAGAGAAAGCAGGCTTCTGAATAAGATGTGAATGAGAATGATGAAGCAGATACTTATCTCAATGTCTTAAGACCTGAAATATTAATATATAAGAGACACTTGAATAAGAATTGAGAGATAACTGTAAAAGTATTAGTGAACACAGAAGCTTCTATACAATATATTAATAATCATATAATCTGAAGACTGAAAGAAGTCTGCTGAGTGAAGAATTTCTGATGTATAAGATTATCTGATAACTGATATTTAATATTATCTGCAAGAGTAAGAGTTCTCTTACACTTCAGAGAATAATCTTACTACATTTGAGTGTAAGAGCTGCAGAATGTGAAATATAATCTTATTCTTAAACTTGATTGATTTCAAAGATTCAATCTGCAGATTTAATGATATACATGTTATATACAGTTGACTGATAGAAAGAAAATGATTTATATGATTCTATTAACTGATATGAGAAGAATATTTCACATCTCTG